AAATGAAAGAAAGAAAGAAAGAAAGAAAGAAAGAAAGAAAGAAAGAAAGAAAGAAAGAAAGAAAGAGAAAGAAAATGTTCCTTGGGAGAAATATACAGGGGCTTATTTGAAAAGACTTTGAGACTATTAGTGGGCACAAGCTAGAAACAAGAGGTTTCCTTTGATCTTAATTAAAAATAGTCCCATTTTTTAAATATTGGATCAATTCAATCACACTAACATTTAAAATGCTTCAGAAATAACAATTAAATGCATTACAAGGTCCTTAGAATTTTGTACTAAGAGTTTAAAAAACATGCTCTTAAACAAAAAACATTGTCAGGTCAATTGAAAAATTGGAGTTTGGAAACTATATTACAGTATTGACATTTATATTATACTACTCATGGTGATGATTATACTAACTTATCTAAGAGAATATCCTTATTCTTAAGAAATATACAGTGAAGTGTTTAGGAATCAAAGGCCATAAAATATGTAATTACTCCCAAATGATTGAAGAAAAATGAGTGTGTGGGGACACACATAGAGCAAATGAAGCAAAATGTTCACAAGTCAATCTAGGTAGATGGTATATGAGCTTTTTTGGTACTACTTTCTCTATAGGCTTTAAATTATTTCTAAATAAAAGTTTTTTTTTAAGTCATGTTGTTTTCAAAATGATAAATAAAATTTGTAATACAGGTTTGTGTAACAATCAACATTCATGTGCCAAGCAATGAACTAGAAAATATATAAATAAATAAAATGTATAAGGGTTTCAGAAAGTTCATGGGAAATTTGGATTCAAATACAGACTTGTGGCTAAGATCAAGTATAGGAAATGTTGTGAAGTCCCCTCATACATGCAACCTCAGTTAATTCCCAATGAAACAAATACTTCTTTGATCCTCATTTTACTGGTGAAAAAGTGAGTTCAAGCTGCTATTCTAACTCAGGCAGCTTGATTTTAGAGCCCACAACCTTTTTTAATGATACTATATTGTAGGATTTACAGCCTTCGAAACCCTATCTAAAGTTACGATGAGTCAGAACAGACTTGATGGTAGTGGGTATTAGCACATTAAAAAGAATTACAAATGAGTTCTAAAAAATCTCGTTCTTGGTTCAAGAAATTAGTCTAGCATCCATAGTCCTATTTTTATACCTCTTTATGACATGTTTTCTTTTTCTTTCCACCGCCGATAGTGATTTTTAAATTACATTAACTACAAATCTTCTAAAAGTTTAAAAAAGTAAATGGTTTCCCTATTTACATCAAAATGTGCTATCTAATGATTTATTTTGAGGTTTCACCAATACTTATCTCCAGTCAAGCCCGTATCTTTAACTCCCCCTCACTTCATTCCTAAAAAGCACTGGATAAGATTCTTCAGAATCTCTCAATATTATTTCAACTATTTCTTGGATCTTTAAACATATTATATTAAATTCTTTCAACTTTAAAAAACCAAACAAACAAAGAAACTTTGATAAAGAATCTATACCAGACCCCAAACCCAGAAATTTCAATTGACAGTTAATTATATTTAAATAGCTCAATTTCTAACTCAAAAAGATGCTAATAATGATATATAAGAAGCCCCTAAAGACAAAAGGAAATTTTTGCATTACCTCTTCTTTAATTTCTTCTTTTTCTTGTACTTTTTCGTGTTTGGGCTCAGGTTTAACTGGTTCCAAAGATGGAAGGTAGTTCTTGGTATAGAGACTTTCAAAAAGTTTATCCACAAATCCTGAAGTTTCTAAGAATGAAAAAAAAAAGCATTTAAATGTCACAAAAACCAAAAAAACTAAAGTTTGAATAACACACTGTGGGAGTAACTGAGGAATATGGGCCATCTCTCACACTGCTGGTAAAACTGCAGGAGGAAAAGCCCCTAAGGAGGAAAAGCCTACTTTTGAGGTTTTTAGAAATCCTTCTGACATGGTTGTTCATATTCAAATGTATGCTCCATTATTTGTTGGAGCACAGGCTGCATTAGTGAAGACTATTAAGCATCACAAATTTCTATGAATAAGAGAGTAGTTAAATAAATTATGAAACAACCATACAATGGAATACACAGGGGAAAAAAGAATTAGCAGTGGTGATAGTACCAGATTTCAAAGCTACAGGGCTAAATATCTGTATTTTTTTATAGTTGCATAAAGAAACTTACAAAGAACTTAAAAACTGACAAATGTTTTGTGGAGTAGGGGAAAGAACAGATGAAGAGGTGAGAGAGACTTCAGAATTTATCTTTGTTTACCTTGTTTCATTACAATATATTCACTGCTATCTATTTTTAAAAGTTTAAATATTTTTGAACCAAAATGAGAGTGATGAAAAAAGTATCCTTTGTGTTTCACTTTTTGAAACTTTCCAGGACTAACTAAATGGAAAGATCAAGTGAATTTGCTAAATGTGTGTAAGTGTCAAGATTCATTACATCTAAATTTTCTTTGTTCTTATCCAAAGGATCAGATAAAAGCACAACACAGACTGCTTCAACTACAATTCGCTACAAGTTTTATATGTGTCATTTCTAGAATGTCAAATTATTTTCTGCAAGGAAAAAATATTTGTTATTATTTTTACAGTAAATATTTTTCATGATTGTAAAACTTCTCTTAACTGTTATCTATAACTTTCAGAAAATAATTTAAACAGGTCCTTAGAGTCTTTATGCTCAGAAACCTTTTCTTCATGATCTTCTGTATTTTTAAAACTTGTTTTTGGAATACAAATTACCTTTGTAATTTGAAGAGTTTGAGACAAAAGACAAAAAACAATATTAAGATATATCCAATATATATTATTAAGGGAAAAATAAGCGTATTATAAAGAGTATGTTCACATAGTGCTGCTTTAATACATAGTGTAAGATATAAATTTAGCACTACACCATTCAGTGACATGTGGATATTTAAAGTTTAAATTAAAATTTTAATCAATTCCTCAGTCTTATTAGGCACATTTCAAGTGCTTAATAACCACATGTGGCTAGTGACTGAATCAGCATAGCTATTGAAGCTACTCATCATGACAGAAAGCTCTATTAGATGTAGTAAGCTATAGAGAGATACACAAGTAGATAAACTAATTTTATCATTAGGGGGCAAATTTTTAATTCTCCTTTTTATTTTCCTTATGTGTTGCTTTTATTATTTTAAAGTTATGTTAAAAACCTTTAAGGCCTTAAAAAACGATGCCGAATAAGCACTTAACCTCTTAAATATTTTTTGCATTTTTGTTTTCCATTTGTTTTCATACCTCTATATTTCATATGACTCATCTTTAACAGAAACTAAGCAATGTAGATTAACACATTTAGAAAACACTGTGTTGGAAGAAGTGAAGAGTTGGGCTGCTAACCAAAAGGCCAACAGCCCAAGCCTCCCAGCCCTCCACAGGAGAAAAATGAAGCTGTTCGCTCCGATAACAATGGGCAGTTGTAGTCTGTCCTACAGGGTCATTACGAATCAGAACTGACTCAAAGGCAGTGTGTATGTTTGGGTGGGAGGGGGGAAATTCTATATTATTTAATTATTAGTATAAAAGAAGCCTTAAAAACACCCCCCCAACTATTAATTCTGTTAGATCGAGAAGTTATAATTATATTTTCTCTCCCAGTAGATATCAGTACTAAAGGCTATCTTCTCATCACTGACAGTAAGATCAACCCGTTAGGTGTGTATTATCCACATTCCTGAATATTTGCTCACAATAAAAGTT